GATTCTATGATTCTATGATGCCTGGGGTGTGGCACAGTAAGTAAACGGTGCCCAATTGGAGACTTAGGAATAAATTCTTTTTTCACATTTCGAGCAATTAGCAAATGCGTTGTGCACACTCGTTGTTGTTCGTCATTACTGCTGATAGAGTTTTTGGTTTTCCCCTTCACCGGCTTTGAGGCTAAAGTTATTCCAGGTTCCAAAAGCTCCTCTTTACATTATGGCCTTGTTTCCCTCTTGGGTTCCTGTACCACATACTGAAAAATAGCCGTAAATGACCACAGGGCAGGCACACGTTCAGGTTGAGTTTCTAAAGTGTTTTATGGGTCATGGTAAATGTAATATGATAATTATGGTATTGATCATGTAGCCGATGAGTCATAGCTGTTAAGAGCTCTCCACGCTCTAGGAAGGCAGGCACTATGGTGTGCGTTTTTCTTTGGAAACAGACAGATCTGATTTTCAGTAGAGGGAAGGAGCTGGGGTGGGTACAGGTGCTAAATCTCGTAATGCCGTGACTGAAGCTGCACTCCAAGCAATCTGAACGGCTTCTTTCTGTGGTCGGGACGGGACGTGAAAGTATGTCACAAGGATGTGCATTTCCCATGTCCGTTGGACGTGATTAGCAAAGGGTGTGTATCTGCCAGGGCCCCCCGTTTGGCCCCCCCTGCTGCTGAGTGTTACTTTCTCTTGCTGGCTGCTGCTGCCACCCGTGATGTGTTCAGCCCCGCGCCGACAGCCAATACTCCCCATCTCATAGTGGAAATGCTAATGGTGGGTTTATGTTCCAGGACAGCACCTTCTCAGCTGAGCGGCCTTCAGCAGATGAATCAACTGTCAGCAATACCTTGCCCTTGGATTTCACCAAACCAGATTCCACTGCAGATAGCCAGCAGTCTAGTGACAATGAAATCCGGCCAAGACCAGAAAATCTGGACTCTGAGGCCAGTTTGGCGCCTGAAGCTCCGCTCTCCTCAGAGGCTGATGTTACTTCGTTGCCTGATGGGCTGAATTTAGAGGATGGCAATTGGACTCCTCATTTGGTCACTGCTCCAGCGTTAGGTGATTCTGTGGACTCTCTGGAATGGCTTTCAGCCCCCAGCTCTTTAGATGGTAAGTTAACGCCATTGACTGAACCTTAAATTTGGACACCAGTGCTTTCTTGTGCTCATCAAAGGTAGAGTTCACCAGAATGACTTTTCAGTAAGGTCTAAAAAATTGGGTGTTTTTCTCTGATAGTTTTTCTTTCCTGTAAGCATGTATCCAAGAACAACAAGCTAAGGTAAAATGTTTTGTAACAGCTACTAATGCCCATTTATCCCTTAAGGGAATGGTATGCACGTGATACTTGTTTAATTGCACAGGTATTTCCGTGCAGGGCATGTTTAGATGATGCCACACAGAGACAACTGCTCTCTGAAGTAGACTGACTAGCCTGAGGACATGCCACACAGTTACTGAAGAGTGGGAGAGGTCAACAGGGGCCCTTCTGACTTCGCCATACAAAGGCCAGGATATCTCACAGGAAACATGCTGAATACAGGACTACAGACAACAGAATGAATGTAACTTTACCCTTTTAGTCATAAACAACAACTAATTGGAAATCTATTTTTATTTTTAGTGTTTGAAGAAACTGAACTATCTGAAGACCTTCTCTTGCCTTCAAGTCCTCCTCACCTCGTGCCTGAGGAACCTTCAGCTACAGATGATAATGAAGTTCCTCTGCTTTCTGCACCAACAGCGGCCTCTTCGTCAGACATAGAGACTGATGTTAAGGAAACAGTCTCCATGGAGAAGGAAGAAGTAACTCAGGGTAGTCCTACAGGTGGTACCAACGCAGACTCTGTGTTGCCCGAGTCTGCAGAAGAAATTCCTTTTCCCATAGAAGTGCACCCTATGGAAGATGAAAGTGATGTATATATCGGAGTTAGAGTTACTGATGATGATGGGTCTGGTTCAGCTTTTGATGGTTCGGGAAGAGAAATGGAATCAAGTATTTGGCCTTGGGAAGAAGCAACACTGGAACCAGTTTTCTACCCTGGTCCTGATAGCTGGCTTGAAGATGACAATGAGTCTTTGTTAATCAGAACTGAGGATAATATTCCTGAAGGCATGATCTTAGACTATATTCTTAACTCTGGGAATAAAATAGATGATGATGCTTCCGAAGATGAGAATGAAGGTATGGCCAATAAAAAAGATGATTTCCTTGATGAGTCTGAAATATTTGTCTTTCCAGAGACTACAACCCAGCAGGTGTCTCTGTTACCAACAGAAGAGCCATCTACAAGGACAGAAACATCGAGCCCATATGATTCTTCTTTTATTAAACCATCCTTGGTTTTGGAGCCATCAGTGGACCAGTCCTTTCTAGACACGCCAACTGGAGAGCCCCCTCTCTCACCCCACAATACAGGTCTGTCTCTGGAAGATAGTCTCCTTACACCTACAGGGACCGTCAGTATGGAGCAGCCTGAAGAATCCAGTGTAGGTCAGAACATCATTTCTGAAGGAGCTGGAGACCAAAACGAAGACAGGACCATGGTAGAACTATTCACAGTGGGGCAGTCAGATGTAACTGAAGCTGCTACAATAGGCCACTTGGACACAGGCTCTTCAGGAGCTGTTCTGACGGCAGATCCTTTCACGGTAAACCCTGGTGTTGCCATGGTAAACCCTGATGCTTCCACAGAAGAGCAGCAAACCCTAGATTCATCGCTGGCAAGCCAAGACACTACTGGATCAGCGGTGACGAAACCATCTGATGCTTGGCCTGCTGACAGAGCACCAGAAAACTCCTTAGATCAGACAGTGCAGTCAGCAGCGCCAGCTGCCACGCATGTTTCAGCTGCAGCTCCTTCTGCAGTAGATCAGACCACTGTTCCGGAGGGCTTCGCTGAGCAGGATGGTACAGACCATGACACGCGTGTTTCCACCGGCTTCAGCACGTACGTCACAGTGAGCGTAACACCAAGCACTGCTGACCTTCTGTCCCATCTCCCTCCTGTGGGATCCACGGCATCATCGCCTGCGGCTACCTCAGCAGAGCTGGGAGATGAAACGACAGGAGTCCTGGACGTGTCAGTGGACCTGGATCACGTGAGCACTGTCCACTTTTCCCCTGCGCTGACTGAGGAGGGAAGGAGCATGACCGAAAGTCACGTGGAGCTAACGACTCGTGTCCAGTCCACAGAAATGGCCAGCGTGGCTTGGGCCACACATGACAATCGCAATAGCACCCCTGTCTCGTCACGAGCTCTAGTCGTGTTTTTCAGCCTTCGGGTCACCAACATGATGTTCTCGGAGGACCTGTTTAATAAAAACTCCCCTGAGTACAAAGCGTTGGAGCAGCGATTCTTGGAACTAGTAAGAATCACTTCTGTGCTAAATGTCCGTTATCGGATAGACACAAGTCATTGGTAAATAGTAGTTTATCATCTCTCTTTTGCAGAGAACAGCTCAAGACTGATGTTTACTGATGCTATTTGTGTCCCTCTGTGGGAAAATTCTCTCTGGAAACTGGGGGTGGGGTTGTTCGTCTTACTCAGTAGTCTCTCCAAAGTGTGGCTTCTTAGCGCTATGGCCCAGATGCTCTACTGGGGTCAGTAAAAGTAGCCGAGGCGCTGAAGTCATCATGGCACTCCCCTTATACTTGCTTCCAGAGTGCTCCTACTTAGTCTGTAGGGAGAGAGAAGTAAACAGATTAGGATGGGCTCAAAGTGTTGCAGGATAGTTACTCCCCTGCCTCCCTAAGTCAGAGTTAGCTCAGGGAGCAAAGCTGTTCCTGAACTGACTGAGGCTAGCACAGCCTCACAGGGGATGCACAGCAACAGTTGTCTAAATTTTCTCTGGGGATTCCCCTCTCCTGGCTGAAATGAACAGTGGGAGATGAAGGGAGCGAACGAGAGAGATAGGGAAGGGGTTGTGCTTGAAGGAAATAGCCTGTGAAAGGATGAGCGTGCCCGGTGCTCGAATCAAGGGAGAGCACCCTGTGTGTCCCGAGAACCCTGTTTCTGCACCGTAGATTTTGGGAAACTGCCTGCAGATTGGTACACGCTTAAGAACTGTCTGAAGTGCTCGGGCTCCTGGCAGGCTGCCGGCACAGGCTTCAGCTGGGTCAAGGTTTAATGCCCTTGCCGTGGGATTTGGCTAAAATAACTCCCGCTGTTTGATGCAGTAACAGTGCAACTGGTTTGAGTGGAGGTACAAAGATTCAGCTTTTCTGTCATGTCCCCTGTGTTGCAGCTGGTGCCCTACCTTCAGTCAAATCTGACGGGCTTCCAGAACCTGGAAATCCTCAACTTCAGAAATGGCAGCATCGTGGTGAACAGTCGAATGAAATTTGCTAAACCTGTGCCTCGGAACGTCACCAACGCCGTGTACATGATCCTGGAGGACTTCTGCAACACCGCTTATCACACCATGAACCTGGCCATCGATAAATACTCCCTGGATGTGGAATCAGGTAAGGATGGCAGGGAAATGCAGTTTAGAACAAGGGAATTTAGAGCAGCTTCTGCATCAAGAACTTACTGAGAATGCCATTGGCTTGGAGAGCGCTCACTGCTTTTCACAGGCTGGGCTTTAGAAAGACAGACTTCCACGGAGTTCAAACAAACAAACATCTGTCAAGGGACAAAAGAGATGAAAATCAGAGCAGGACCCAGACTGAGTGAACGATATGGGGGCAGTACAGAAATATGGGGACAAAAGCAGCTGGTGTAGTACTCCATATAATGCTCCTGCACTCTCAGTGGGGAGTCAGCAGGAACAGCGGTGCCCGTGTCTCTTGTGCTTAGTTTCGTGTGTGCTTTGAACTTACTCCATGTGATCGTTCCCACGGGAGGTCTCCAGTCTAGCTGCCAGGTGACAGCCACTGCCTTACTCTTGCAATGAGGTTGTGGTTGCCTGGAAGAGCTAAGGACCCTCGCAGTTCACTCCTCTGATACAGGCATAAAGTTTTTTCCCTGTCCAAGTTAGCCAGCAGTTTACCATACAGGCAAGTCGGCAATCTTTCCTGGTGTAAGTTCAGAGAAAAGTGACAGTGCTGACCTGTTGGCCAATGGCTGTTCTTCTGAGGGAGCTCTGGTCTAAAGATGGTCTCACTGACATGACACATCTTGTGCTGTTGATGGTTTAACTGTGTGGCAGCCCTCTTGAGCTTGGTACAAGTGAGATACCTCAAATGCTATAAGCTGGTGTTCCCTGCAGACAGAGGCAAATCACCTCACAGTGAGTGCCAAGTGCCCGACATCCCCTTGCCCTTCCCCGTACACCACTTAGTACCAAGTACAGGGCATCAGCTGTGTTTTTACTCATTTGCAAAATATAGTTCCAGCAGACAGACCATCCAAGGGGCTGCATGTTCCAGTAAGGAAAAGAACACTTTTGACTTACTTTTGGGTTGGCTTGTTGGATGGTTTTAGCCATACCATTGTGCAGACAGCGGTGAACAAGGCTTCCTAGAGCTTGTTCGCCTTAGCAGAACCTTTTGTTACTCAGGAAAGACACGTGCTGGATTGTTGTGGATTATTTTAACTAAGAGATCATTAGAGAAGAGGGCAGCAGACAGCCAGCACTTTGCCTCAGCTAAGGGGCTCCTCTATCTATTCATTCATTTTCCGCGCTGTCCCTTCTCAGGTGAGCAAGCAGATCCCTGCAAGTTCCAGGCCTGCAACGAGTTCTCCGAATGCCTAGTGAATCGCTGGAGTGGGGAAGCGGAGTGTGTCTGCAACCCTGGCTACCTGAGCATCGACGGGCTGCCATGCAGTTCCATCTGCAATCTGCAGCCCAACTTCTGCCTGAATGACGGGAAGTGTGACATTAGCCCCGGGCAAGGGGCCATCTGTAGGTAGGTTATCCTGCTCCTCCAAGTATGTGCCCCCTGTACGAAAACCCCCTTATGGTCTCCTCTGTTGTGGCATTCCACAAGATTTGTGCAAGATTCTGTAAGGGAAGGTGTAACAAGTGATAATTGTTCATATAGTGAGTGGAGGGGCCAATATTAACGTTAGTTTTCCTATGTAAATATCGGAAAGACACAGTAACAAATGTCTGTAATAGAAGAGAATCATCAGGAAATAAAACTGACTGGGGAAAAATGGTTGTAAGGTAATGGAACAGGCTCTTGTTCAAACCCCCTTTGACTACAGAACTTATCTCTAGTGGTTTTCTCAAGTACCAAAGTGTGAGGTAATGTCATAAAACATTTGAGAGTTAATGCTATCACAAAAATTCATATCTGAAGGCATATTGATACAGCATAAATATATTAAAAATCATGCTCTCAGTTAAGAAAAAGTTCTAAAAGTAAATCATTTGCCATTTGGGAAAAATCATGTGTGGTTTGATGAAGGCAGAGGCTCCTTGGCTGAAGATTTTGCTTTTAAAAAGATCCAGATGCATTCAAACAGGATCTCTGTATTTTACAGGTAACTGAAAACACTTAGCACAAGGCACTAACAAATCACTGCTCCCCTTGACACTGCACTTAATTTTTTCCTTCTCAGGCAATCAACAGTCTGTTTTTATAAACAAAATATACCTGTCAACAAAAGGTAGGGGACTTAGTGCAAAAAAGAATATTACTACTAACAGTTAGTAATTACATTACTTCAGGTGATTTTTTTTTTTTTTAAAGAAAGCTTACCTAGAGCATCTCTAAAGTCATTCTTAGAGTTCTGGCAGTTAATGGCAGAGATAAAAATGTTTTAAAGCTACAGAAATGGATATGATCACAGATCTACTACAGATCTTATCATAGTTGTATGATAGTGTTAATTAGAAACAGGTAAGTAACTGAAGTCAAGCATGACCCGGCCAGCGTTCGGGAAGAACTTTAGGAAAAATGTGAAGTATTGCTTACTGTTTTCAGAAACTATTTCAGGTATTTATGTTAGGAGACTTTATTTACTGATGTTTCTGATTAACAAGGTTCATTGCGGTGAGTGGCCATAATAGCTTACAGTTCCTGGAGTTTTTATAGCCAGAACTCCCAAACACACATGATGCAAATATATTATTTTAATTGGTATATTTAAAGTCAGTATTAACATTAAAGTTCTCGTGTTCATAAACACAGCAAGGCAGAAATAATGAGTGCTGGTTTGGGCAGCTGTTCCAAAGAACACTCTTGGGCACATGCTTCTTTCTAGTCACTTACTTCATGTATTTCTTTGACCATTGTGGAGTTCACTACACCGTAAACATTCTGCTGGTGTAGCACACCTGCATTTGCATTGACACTGCAGTGTGAGTAAGACAGCTGCTTTCCACCTGGACAGTGTTCGATACGTCACGTGCAAAGCTCGGTGAAGGCACAACTTTTTACCTGGCCTAAACACCTACCAGTTTTAACACGTACTAGGATACTCTAAATTACAAATCCCACAGGCTTCTTCCTGCACAAATGCATTTTCCTTTTTTAATTTTACCTGTCTTCACTCAATTCAGTAACTGGGCTTGTTCAGCCTGGAGAAGAGGAGGCTCCGGGGATACCGTATCGCAGCCTTCCAGTACCTGAAGAGGGCTGATAAGAAAGCTGGGGAAAGACTTTTTAGCAGGACTTGTTGGATATGACAAGGGGTAATGCCTGTGAACTACAAGAGGGTAAATGTGGGTTAGATGTAAGGAAGAAACTGTTTACAGCAAGGGTGGTGAAACGCTGCACAGGTTGCCCAGAGAGATGGTGGATGCCCCATCCCTGGAAACATTCAAGGTCAGGCTGGATGGGGCTCTGGGCAACCTGGCCTAAAGATGGCCCTGCTCATTGAAGGGGGGTTGGATTAGATGTCCTTTAAAGGTCCCTTCCAACCCAAACTGTTTTGCGATTCTGTGCCAAAAAGCTGTTCACAATAACAATAGTAATAAAAGAAAGTTGGTGCTTAAACAGGCAAAGGTATTTATTGAGGTGATGCAGCTGAGGGCACGTTGAACAGGAAGTCAATACGTTTACATTACCCAAAGGTTTTGCTGGCGTTTAATTTCCCTGTGTTTCCTCGCTTCAGGTGTCGGGTGGGCGAGAACTGGTGGTACAGAGGGGAGCACTGCGAAGAATACGTGTCTGAGCCACTGGTTGTGGGTATTGCAATTGCTTCTGTGGCAGGATTCCTTCTTGTGGCCTCTGCCGTCATCTTCTTCTTGGCCAGGACCCTTCGAGACCAGTACACAAAGAGCGACACCGAGGACTCACAGGGGTAAGTGACACCGTCTCATGTCTTTAAACACCCCTGCTGCAATAAGGATCATTCTGTCCTAAATCTCCTGTCACCTAGTAGACGAGCAACAGCGCGTATACGGGAGCCTCCAAGTGCCAGGCTTCCTTAACCTATCCGCTGCCCTTCCAGGCTGCAGAGGAGCTCACAGTTTGTTTATTCCTCCCGCAGGCAGGGTGACAGCCTCTCGTCCATGGAGAACGCCGTTAAATACAACCCCATGTATGAAAGTGATACGACTGGCTACAGCCATTACTACCGGCGGTACCCTCAGCTAACATCCTACAGTTCCACCAGTGCGGAGACGTCCACCGACTACAGCAGTGAGGAGATCAGGCACATCTATGAAAACAGTGAGCTCACTAAGGAGGTAAGCGGCCCTGTTTTCCTAGTGGGAAGAGATGGTGCAGGGACAATAAGCTTATTTCACACTTGTAACCTGAGCAGTGGACCCAGTGTTCCTCTCTGTCTCTGTTCTAGATAAACCAGTTGCCACTATGGCCGCTGCAACTACTGAAGGGAAGGGGGAAAGGATTTCTGTCCCTGCTTGCTGTTAGGTAGAGCGAAAGGAAGGGGGGTGTTGTGGGCTGTAATGAATTCCACATGCTTCAGTAACTTCATGGGAGTTGGGGAGCTTTGCTGCTGCATTGCTTGACACAGCCTTTAGCTTTTAGTGCCAACTACCTTATGTAAGAGTAGTTACGCAGTGAAAACCTGGCACATCCAGGCCTTCTTACTGGGTGTGGGTTTGGTTTTTTTTTTTGAGTTTGGGTCTTTCTGTAACCTGCAAGTTAGATCACATCGTTCTCCTTCCTTCCTATATGCAGAGTATCCAGGGTTTACTCTCGAAGGCTAAAGAGGAGGGATTTACATCCAGGAACTAACCACAAATCCTTAAGCAACTGTGAGAGGTGTGAATCCAGCCTGGAGCTGGGCTTGTAGGCAAAGTATCCACGAGACATAAATGGTTTTGTTAAAACCCGTTGAAATGCTGCACTCTGTCCAAATCCTGGGTTTGATTTTAAAGGAAAATATTACTCCAATGAAGTGCTTCACTTAAAAAAAAAAAAAAAAAAAAAAAGGCATAAAGAAGAATTTTAGTGTTGGAGTGCCCAGTTTCATGCTCTACTCCTTGAAATGGCAAAGTGTAAGATTTTTGTTTTCCAAACCTCAGAAATCAGTTACCACAGCAGTATGCTAATTTCTGTTTTGCACTAGGAAGTTTTTTGTACTAGGAATTTTTTGTTCTGTTTTGTATTCTAGGAAATACAGGACAGAATTCGAATTATAGAGCTCTACGCTAAAGACCGTCAGTTTGCGGAGTTCGTTAGGCAGCATCAAATGTAAGTGAGACGTCCTGTCTGGGTAACTCCTCTGATGTTTTCACGTGTGGGCTCTTTGCTACAGTAACTGTGTTTCTCAGATGAAGGGTCTAGAAATGCCGGGACACAAGAGGTTAACGTGCCAGCGTTGCTTCTGAAGAGGTTCAGCCCTTCTAAAGTACTTAAAATAATCAGTGTCAGAAGTAGATGGCCCCAGCAGGTATGTTGAAAGTGTTGGAGAGGAATGCCAAAGTTAATGGGTGTCAGAGAAGCACTGACATCAATTTAGGTCCTTAAAGGCATAGATGGAACCTTCTCAATTCTTCTAGTGTAGTCACTATTGCCCGGTGTTCTATTTGAAATAGAATTTTTAAAAGCACCTTAGTTTCTCTTCGGTTCTCAAGCCTTGGCGACTAACCCAGATCACCAGTACCATCCTGGCTGGTTTGGTGGGCACCTACTGGGATAGAAAGCTTACAGTTAAAAAACAGTTAACTGACCTGAGCCAGGTGCTTTAGTGAAAATTACCTATGAAAAAGGCTGTCAGGTAATTCATTGTTAGCGTGCGCGCTCCAGTGAACGGTACCCTCACTGCAGCAAGCAGCAAATTGCAGCTAGCTGGGTTAGTTCAAAAGATTCTGCAGTGCAATTCCTTGGGATCCTATTAAAAATAGCTACAGTAGCTCAAGTTTTGTGTTCCAAGATCATCAGCTACTTTTTTTAAAAAACTGAAAATAAGAGCGGATCACATTTTTCCATGTCAGTTGTTCATTTGTTTTCCTCTTGAAAAGGATCAGCACCTAAATTTTCCACAGCTGGAAAGAAGCAAGGGCTGCCTCATCTAAGCCCCGAACCCAGCGTTTGGAAGAGACGAGCTTAATCGTTGCTTCTCTGGTTTTCATTTCAGGAAGCTGCTCTAAGGAAAAAAGAAATGGCTAGAATGCATGTGGGAGATCAAGACTACCTTGTTGCCATAGCAATGGGCTCAGATGTAACTGCAAAGTTACTTATAGTCTTAACTGCACGGGTGGATACAGATGTTTTCTAAATGAACGGCTAAAATGTACAGATGTCTGTTTATCTCAGTTTCTTCTGGCTTTTCTGTGCAAAGTGACGCTTTTAAAAGGTGATCCGAACAGGCAGAGGTTATGAAAGTTCATTTTCCTTCAACTCTGAAACAGACAGTGAAAGCTTGTATACCAATCCAAAAAAATCTCCTTGGGTAAGGGAAGATACACGCGCAACCAAAATAAAATGCACGTTCAAAATCCCTGTCTGGCATTTGTCCCCTCGCTGGAGGCTGCTGAACTGGTTCCACAACTCTAAAGCACTAGTGGATTTGTTTTGCACACCACAGACTTGTGGGGTGAGAACTACTGGGCTAGAATTGCGCTCGTTTAAACCATTCCCGTTGTGAACACGAACCTCACCGGGAAAACGGTTTCCGTGTATGGATGCCCCACGCGCGTTTCGCTGTTAGCAAACCAGGCACGGGGCCTTGCTGGCCTCCTGAAGGCCCTGCCCCACCATCAGCGACCCCACAGGCACCTTGCAAGGTGGGGCGGTGCCGCTCCCGTGGTTTTCACGCCGCCGTGGCTGGTGCTCCTGCTGTGCTGGGCAGATGCGAGCCGGGGCACAGAAGGGCTTCTAGCACACACATGTCCCGTGAAGCTTAAGTGGCTAACGTAGACTGGGGTTTTTTTGTATGTAGACAATTTGTTTGGTATTTTCTAAGTTAATTTGTATTATTTATTTGTTGTGTATTTCCCTACCAGCTTATTTTAATTATGGATTTAACTGTTGAAGTAGAAAGATGAATCGTATCATGATGGAATACTACAGTGGGGCCTGTGCCCATCCTATTAAAAACATATTTAGTGTTCACTCAGTGTTAAATTCAGCCAACGAATATTTGACTTTTCTTTACTGAACTGGGCAATAGTCTGCCATGGGCTCCATTTCAGAATCAGGCTGTGGGATTTAAGTGCATGCATTTTTGGGATGGCAGCGATTTCCCCAGGTTTGGGAAGAGAGAAAATGAGATTATTATTGGCTTAGTGGAAGTCAGTGTAGGATTCCTTAAACAGAATAAGTCAGCCTGAAGCATTTCAAAACAGCTGAATTGACGAGGGGACCTCCTGAGGTGCAGAAACGGAGTTTCATCTTGGAGTCACGGCACAGTGCCGGGAACACCGACAGGTTAAGGTGTGCTGGGGCTCTGTTCAGTCACCCAGCGTCTCTTGTTTAAGGCATTAACGGTGCTGTCAGGGTTAGGGCACTAATAGTCTCACGCGAGCTTCTGCTAGCAACCAAGGCCAACTTACTTCTTCAGAGCCTGTAGTTCTCAGCCTGCAAGTGCCAACAACCACCTGATACTTTCTAGAGTTAAGTGACAGAGGTGCTTACTTGTCGATAGGCGACTCACCTAAACGCGTGGAGATTTCAGTGCCGTTCTGCGTGTTCTGGAGAACCTCGCCGGATCACCTGCGTAGTATCTTCTTGCCTTGAGCAGCAGGGAGTGGGTACTGGAACCACGCATCTGTCGAAGAAATGCATAGAGAAACCCCCGTGAGCCCAAACAAAAGACAGCAGGAAGTAACACGGTGCTGCGGAATATCGTTGTGACTCGATGCTGTGAGATGGAGGCCCCGTTCTGCCGGGTGACCCAAGGGCTCTTGGAGCAGCTGGTCCGGTTTCTGCGGCACAGCCCGCTCCCTCCTGCCCCTACGCCAGCGCAGCGGGGCCATCCTGTTGCATTGGGGCCTTGTGGTCATGGCAGCTGTATGATGCAGAGCAGCACTGGGCTCAGGGTAGGCATCAGCTTGTAGGCCCTGGGAGCCAGCTCCGTGCCGGGACTGCTCAGCGCTGCGGCAGTGGGTGGTGGCGGGGATCGGGCATGTTTTGTGGACGGGATTTTGTGGTGCGCCAGCTGGGGACCCTTGGTGATGCTGAATATGAGGTATTTCAGTGTATATACAGTGCATCTTTTCTTTGTGTGTGTGTACACATGTGAACATAACGGTATCTTATTTTCACTGCAATAAAAAACTGTTTCCAAAATGTTTTTCTGTAGCATGAATGGAGGTGCTATGAGTTTGATTGAAGAGAGAAGGTAACTTGGCCACGATGGCTTGTGCATGGAGGATCAGAAAGCTGGTTGTTTCTTTTTAAGCAGACTTGGCCCTTTGCTGACAAAAGTGCCAAATGTAGTTAATAAGCACTTCCAAGGGTGTATTCTGAAAATCCGTGCTGGAAAGCACACCACTGAGTGCTTTGCTTTCAAGTAAGCTCTTTGCCCAGTTTGAAGATGTTTCGCCTCTAATTAAAGAGCTGAAACATGTTGTTACTTTGGTGATCTTGGAGTCTTAAAAACAAAAACAAACCCTGCCCCCCTTCAGACCATCTAAACTGTTTGATGATGCATCTTACGACACACCGAGGACTTGATGAACTAGCTTACTTTCTTTGATACTTTCCCAACCCAAGGGACACAGAACACCAAATATCCTAACAAAAAAAACCCCAACAAAGCAGCTCAGTGCACAAATCTGCCAGTACTTGTTATCGGGCGACGTGCAGTTTTTCACGTGCTGAAAGTAAGAAGCGGAAGTGTGAATGACCTGGCTTATTTAAGAACGTGGCCAAAAGCAGTTACTGTTTACTGGACACCAACAGGTCTGTGGCTCCTGTGGCCACTCGAGGCTTCAGACGTGGCACTGTCAGCTGCCCCTTTAACAGGCTGTCACGCGTTCAGCTCCCCATGTGGGACCACAGTGCCCCATACTACAAAAACCCCTGGCTGTAAGCTCTACCTGTACTATTTTGGGGGTGTCAAGGCCTTCCCCTCTACACCTGAAGGCACCAGTCCACAGGGGTAGAATTCTACCCTGGCTGGGAATTCCAACAGAGAACAAGCACTCAGAGCTGCAAGGCTGGCAGCAGTTCAGGAACTGTGTGCTTGCCTTTTATTTGAGAGTTTTTTTAGTGAAGGACAGAGCAAAAAAGCCTCAGTTACTCCACATCTTTTAGCTATTGTGATATGGTCCAGCCTGTGCATGTCATGTACCGCTGGGTAACAATTTAGTCCCAGAAAACAGGTTGCTTCAGGTCCTCAGAGATAGCTGAAACTACATTTTCTCCTATCTCCTCCAAAAGAAGGAAGCATGGATAAAGTTTAGATTTTTCAGAACTTACAGCTTAATTACTAAAATGCAAAAAGCCTTTAACAATCAGGACTTTGACTCATGTTCCTCATCAGACCTGCTGGACTTGGTCCTTGTGAAGGGAGCACGAGAGGACTCTGAGCACTCTTCCGCGTGGTGTCCGTGGAGAGAGCAGGCACGCCAGGGTGCTCGAGCTCCAGGGCAGGGACAGTCATCTCAGCATATTGAAATCTGAAGCAAAACACCCACCCGCAGCAGAATAGCTGTCTGTCTGTAAGCGCTGCAGGACAGACATGGGCTGACTGTACAGCACGGGAGAGGTGATGGGGCATCGTTGCTATTTAAGCAGCAGTGGAAAGCTCATAGGAATTCAGTGGCACTTCCTTTACTAGATGCGTGCTAGAACACCAGCAGCATTTCTGTCCCATCTTCCACTACTTGATCCAGTTTGGGAACAGACACTTTATGTTCTACATAACATCCATTCCTTTGCTTTGGTTTATCAACTGAAAAAAAAAAAATCCAAAGCTCTTTCTGGAGCAGGAATTTTTTCATTGGTTTGTCCAAGCGAGAAAGTTTTGTTCGTGCCACGTTCGACACTAGTCAGCTCTCCTACTCCAGGCTGTTAATCACCCCCTGGACTTTTAGTTGAGCTCCTGTCCTCTTGGCCTCTCACCCTCCCTGCTGGGTCACCCTCTGCGCTTGGCGGTGGGAAGCGCACTCCTGGAAGGCAGCTCTGCGTGGAGGGTGACAGCAGCTTGGAGGACTGGAATGACAGCTTTCCTGAGCTGCTAGAGCTGTTCAGGGGGAGCCAGCAGAACACCACCTCACACCTGTGCCATCAGTTTTCCTGTGTTCCCAACAAAACCAGCTTTCAATTCGCCTCTTTCAGGATGAAAAGTACTTCAGTACTGGAATTTTGTGGGACACGTGCCAATTTATTATGGTTTTACTGTCTGCACATTTAAGGACTAGGTTATGTAGTAAATATGTAAGTTGGGGTAAACTACACTTAAATCCTGACACTCCCCCCGACCATCTGTCATTTGTACAACCAAAGCAACAAAAAATAGTCTCTCTCTTGAATCACTGGAGGTTGAAATGTTATTCAAAAGTCTCACATTAAACACAAATCAAAGTTAGTGTTAACTGGAGCTGCGATTGCATCTCCACAGCTGATTACCAGATGGGGAAACTATGCCTTTCTGGAAAGGCTGACGTAGCTTGAACAGAAATGAAAGCAGGAACAATAACGGGTACAGCCATACATGAAAACGCTGTGCAGTGAGGAGGGTGTGTGGCCGGATAAAAGAGGGCAAGGGAAGAGGCAGACACTCAGCAGTGAGCACAGGAGCAATCCCCAGTGTGAGAGACCTCCACCTGCCCACAGGAGACAGCTCCAAGGAAATCCGCTCTGCCCCGCTGAGGGAGGATTGCACCGTGACTAGAGGATCTCACATCCCAGAAAGGGAGGGGGGTGCAAAGCGCTTTTAGCGGCGGCACAGGACTCGGGTGTCCCAGCACGACCCACAGGTATCTGCTGGCTGTGGGTTCCTGTTCACAGCTCCAGTCGTCTGCTCCATACAGGAGCGGCTGTTCCCCCATCCCTGTTTCAGATGGGAAGACCAGAGGGTGTTCATCCACAGAAATGCTTCATACAGCTCTCCAGTAAACCAGAGACCCCTGCACCACTTATTTTGTCTTGTTATTTCTTATTCAAAGCTTTGATTTAAAAAAAAAAAAACACAAAACAACAACCACCAAAAAAATAATCCAAAAAACCCCCATCTCTCAGCACGCTGCAGGACTCCACTGACCATTTTCAGAGGGCAGAGCACATAAAAGCTTTACAGGAACCTGCCAAGAAGGAGGAAACGGAAGGTGCTAGTAAGGCAGCTGGAGAACCAGTCCACAGATTGCAGGCAGCACAAACCAGTCTCCAAAAAGGGATAATGTAGCCTGGAAAGGAGTAAGAAAGTCATGTTAGGAGCAAAGTAAATATCAGGTTATTATTTTTAGAGGGTTTTTTCTATATAAGGA